TTTTTGGGGGTGGGGGGGGGGGGGGTTTTTTTTCTTTTTTTTTTTTTTTTTTGTGTTTTTTTTTTTTTGTTTGCTCTCTCTCTCTTTGGGCTTCTTTTTTTTTTTTTTTTTTTTTTTTTTTTTTTTTTTTTTTTTTTTTTTTTGATCGTGATTACCATGATTATCAACGCAATTTAATTGTCACCACATTGTTGTTACGTTATTATCATCTGGATCGTAGGCAGATCAATGATGACACACTACGTACGTGCGTGCACGTATGCGTAGGCACGTACATATGAAGTGATTCCGGAAAGGAAGTCTCGATGCGACGAGAGGGGATTGCACAAGTATTTATTATTACGTGCTATAGTTGACATTTATACATACGTAGGACAGCGCAGATTGCTTCAACATACGGCACTTACAGCATATCGTACATACAGTGTATATACTGTATAATAAATACTGTATATTGCAAAATGATTGATTGAATTCGCATACAATTTACGTTATGATGCTTAATTCGAGGTGGTTTTGAGAATGAGCAATAATTGCCTTAAATAAACTATCGATTGTTCTAACGGTTTGGTTTAAGCTCAGCGTGCGATGGTCGAATTTCTTGTCCCAAAATTTTCTTTATGGTGACACGAGGGAGTGAAAATTTATTCCCTGCGAACGTGACAATAAAATAATTTTCGACACCAACAATCTTTTTAATATAAATTTTTATTAACCTATCATCAAGGAGAATCACTCATGCCGACACATAACAATCTGACTAATACGTTTGTTTTATCATGCAATCTAATACGCAACACTAATATAAAGACGCTAATTTACCGATAAGATTAATTAAGTAGGTGGCTTTCTCCTTTCTCTCACGGAAATATTCGATATTCGTCTGTTCACATTTGCATTCCTTCATTGGCCGCCACGACGAATCGATAGATCCATTTTCTGACAAGAATGAGCTCAAAAAATTGTCGCAATTGCAGTTCGCTTCAATCTCAACTTGATCAAAAGGATGTGATCATTGAAAAATTCCAACGGATCGCCAGATGCCAGTTCGAACTCATCCAGGACTTATCTCAAGGAGAAAGTCTCAACTATTCTGACGCTTCTTTCTACGAAGGTGAGGCTTTATTGGCCGCCCGCCCTGCCAGTGGGAAATCAGGTAATCTTTCCGTACGTGTATTCCCTATTGCGTGCACACAAGAACTTTGTGAGTAAGGCGAGCGTTGAAAAATCATCCGCAGTTGCCAACCGTTCTTATTATCGCGCCTATGTCGGACCTTTAACTGACGATGTCGATAAGGATTCATTGAAGACAATTCTCGAAACTGCGTTTGGCACAGTGGAAACGCTTGACTTTATCCCGGGGAAGGTATGCATGTGAAAAGGTTCGAGTAGACGGATGCTTGAAAATACTGTGTATGAATTCATTTTATCGTCACTGATC